GTGTTAAAATAAAAGCAATAACACTGAGAATAAATTAATGAACTACAATTAACTATATTTACAATAAGTGGTTTGGTTGGAAACACCTATTCCCTACACTGATAAAATAAAACCTGCATTCTGCAAAAGCTGAAATAAGTTAAATGAAGATGCTTTTAACAAGGTTATTACTTAAGCAGTGACAGGTTTACAGATTTTAGCACCATTGGGTTTTCACAGGAGCTATAGCAAGTGCTAAAATAACACACACCTTCAGGTTCATTAAATTCACCAGTGTGATGAAATAACTGATATTTTTCTATATTACTATAGTGCCTCAAAGAACTGACTATAAATAAGATACACTAATAACAACTGTTTGCAGTGCTAAAACAATAAAATAATTCTTTCAGGCTAATATACAAAGGAAGAAATAAGCGTAAGGCAGACTGTTAACATAGTTGTATCTGGTGGCTTTTATTCTACTGGTATCATGGCTTCAATCATTTACTCATCTGAGAAATGCCCTATAAAATGTTTTGTCAGTCAATGTGTCAGAAAGAAACTTGTTTAAAGGCTACATGAAGAGGGGACTCCCACACCAAAATACTTTCTAATCTGATGTTTACTGAAGCATTTCTGAAGACTATCTTATGCGAAAAACTGATTTTTAAAAAGGAGTGTTTCAGATGATAGTAAATCTCACATTATACTCTGTTTTGGAAAGAACTAATGCTGCAAAAAAACAGATTTCTAATAAATCAGTGGAGTATGGCCTTTGGAGACCTGGGAGACATATGGACAGTAAAAGAGTATCTCAGGTTGTTCTGTGAATGATTCCATCTGGATGAGGGCTCGGTGTTATTCGCAGCCTCCTTCTCTCCTAAAACACCTTCAATCTTACCCGGAGCCCCTATCTCAAATGTCAGACCACCTGGGATCCGCAGCTGTCGGGCTGAAAGAAGAGCTGCTGGGGCGGCCCCGTGCCATGAGCCGCCAGCAGCCCTAGCCCGCTGCCATTGGGTGAAAATCAAGGGAGTCTGCACTTGCATGCAGCTTGGTCTGCAGGGTTTGCACCCAGTGGGGTACTTAATGCTTCATTCCCATTTATGTAAATGCATGTATAATTAATATATATTTAATATAAATATATAGGAGAGAGTGTGTGTTTGTGTGTGTGTGTGTGTGTGTGTATACGCACACATGTCTGGACAAACCTATCAGTGTGTACCTAAAAGAGCTGGAATAACTATTTCCAATGCCTAGTTTCAGTGTTCACAGGGGGACTTGGGGCTCCCCATGCTGGCATAGGGGAAAAGCAGGAGTCACTCTACTGCAGTCAGAGGGTGCAAAGCCCATGCAAATGTAGAAAATCAACCCCAGGATACCGCAGGCCTGCTTAAATTTTGCAACACTGGGTGATTTACAATTTTGTTTTATAGTAGAAGTATACTGTATTTCAGCTATTTCTGTAGTACTAAAGCATGTTTAAAGTGAATGAAGATTTCATTTTAGGTGTTGTAAGCAAGGTTTGGGTGACAGTAATTTTGCTGCAAAGTGTGAAATCCAGCCACAGGGTTTGATCTTTCCCACCGCAAACCTGGCACATTGTGTTGGGAGTCTAGGAGCACAAGGTAGAGAAGCACTAAAGTTGCCAACTTCTCAATACCTTGTGCGACAGGCTTTTGGAGAATAGTCCCCATCCAGCCATATTTCCTAGCCTTCTAATTGTGCATGCACAGGAGGTGTGTTAAGCCTCTGTCAGCTGCCATATGATCTCTCCACAGCACCCAGTACCCAGTACCTAAAATCAGGAGAAAAACTCCCATTTAAGTCCAGCTTGTGGATTTTCTAACAGTGATTTCATCTTTTCTTGCTGGCTCACGACAATCTGATTTCATGAAAAAAAACCAAACCCAAACCCACAACAAAACCAACAATCAAAAAAAATATCTGTAAGCTACTAGTTTTGTTCACACTATAGGGATGAGTGTGCAGCCCACCATGCTCCGGAGGCAATATTAAGTGAACAAATAGCAATCTTTAATACCTCAAGGGGGCCTACAAGAAATCTGGAGAGGGACTTTTTAAAAGGGTGATAGGGCTGGGGGAATGCCTTTAAACTGAAAGAGGGTAGATTCAGATATTAGGATGAAGTTCTTCATTATGAGGGTGCTGAGGCACTGACACAGGTTGCCCAGAGAAGCTGTGGCTGCCCCATCCCTGGCAGTGTTCAAGGCTAGGTTGGATGGGGCTTTGAGCAACCTGGTCTGTGGAAGGTGTCCCTGCCCGTGGCACGGGGATTGGAAGTGGATGGTCTTTAAGGTCCCTTCCAATCCAAACCATTCTATGATTCTAGTATGAGTCTGTAACTTCTGGGTGCACGTCTCAGACGAGTGGGATGTGTATGGTGAATTGCACCTGGGAAAAAAACTTTATTTTTTCACATACTTCATAACCCCCTTGTAACATCTCTCTGAGAAGATCCATATGACTACTATATTGGTTAATAAACAGTGTCACAGTGATATTAAATTAATTGTTTCTCCTTAGGCACATAATAGCTGTGACTGGCCTGTGAATTAAATACGTTTTAGAAGTTCTTTATCTTAGGAGTTCCCCTCACCTTGATTTTACACAGCCCACACTTAGCAATATTGAGGAAAATGTTGGAGTTATTAATTTATTTAGATTTTTTTGTAAATGGTGGAAAACTTTGGAATTGAGTTGGTTTTGAGTGGCTGCTGGTTGTTAATAATTCATGCTTCATGTGAAAAGAAAATTGATCAGAAGCATCCTGGAGAGACCAATCCATGCCGTTTCTGTGATCAGCTGAGACACAGACTAAATATGAGGCATGAACTGAAAGATATTGCTGAGAAAAACAGACCTATCACAAGCCAAGTGGTGTGGCTGGCAAGGGATGTCAAAGGGAAGAGCATTGTGCTATCCTTTGAAGCTCAGTCATGGAGACAACGAGGTAGGAAAAGATCCTGCAGCAAAATGTGGTCAAACATTCTCACAAGGAGAACGAGAGCAGCTTCTTTTCCTGAAGGCAGCACTCCAGATCAAACAGTCCTTTGTGGAAATGTTCAAAAAAATCCCCCACACCTCATCCTGGGATGAGAATGAGCTCCAGCACCTGGGGCTGGATGGACAGTCAAAGGAGGAACACTGGGGGACATCTGTAGATGCTGAGGCTGAGGTTGTGCTGGAGCAGATGAGATGGACCTGTTCTGTAAAATGTAAGAGTTTATATTTTCTGATAAAAAAAGAAGTTCAGATATTATTCTCAAATGGAATTTGGAAAGTGTTTGCTGAGCTTTAATCTTACCCTGGATCCACTAACTCTTCCTTTGTTTCTCTATGCTGTTCTTCCATCTAAAGTAACTTCTGTTAAATCAGAAATCACACATATCCGACCCAGAATTTCACAGTCTCTAAGGAAATGTTCTGAAGGGAGGTTTTCTGGAGCCTAAGCCTTCACTCAGCTTTTCAGCTGTGAATGGGTTCTCCTTTCCATGTGCTCCCTACAGAAGGAGCCTGGGCGAAGGATGAAGGACTGGTGTGAAGGAGGGTGCACAGAGCTTGTGACAGGTACCTGCTATTTGTGGAAGAGTTTCTGTTTAGAGGCATGTGCTCAGCTTGGATAGGTAAGCCATCGTGTACTGTTAGAATTTTTTTTCTCAGTCTTTCTTTACTTGTTTTAATTGCCACATAAATTAATCTTAGATGTACTTCTTGTCTGTGTAAGTATGAGCTATATAGATATATGCATGTACATATTTATGTGTAGTTATCAGTCTCAGTATCCTACTTGTTAAGGTAATTGTGTCATCTAAATTCTGTCATACTTGGTTCAGGACAGATTCATTAACTGTTCCTATTACCTTGGCATCTGAACACCTATTTCATTGAGGTAAATCCAGAATAAATCCACTAATTTCCCATGTTCGTTCACCATTATTGCTTGGAAATAATGAGAGATGCTTATACTCGAAGAAAAATGAGACATCTGACACTGAAAATTACAGTTAATTTTTATGGTATATAGAGGTAAAATAATTGAATTAGTATGGTTATACAAAGTATGTTCTGTATCTTGGAAAAATAACTGATGATGACCATATTCCATGAATATTGTTATTATTATAATCTCTTGCATGTTACATATATATATATATATATATATATACACACACACATATTTTATATGTATATATCCTTCCAGCATATCAGTCTATCTGTGGGAGGACCTTGCTAGTAGCAATATCATGCTGCATTTTGCTCTCCTTCACAGCCAGGTAGAGTGGGAGGAGAGCAAGGATCTATGGATACTCTGACTAACAATCTCGCCATCTACTTATTTATGCATTCAAATTAACAAAAGGAAAATAAAAATTGTAATAAGGTTTCTCTATACGTAGCTGAACATCATGAGATGTTTGACAGCCTTTGTGATGGGTGTAAGGGAGTTGCCATTTTGTTACCTAAGCAAACGGACTATGTTGTATATAGTTTGTCTTCTTCTTAATATTACCCAGTTTATACAACCTAGTTTTTCTTACCCTGCCATTTGGCTGTTTGTAAATAATGAGCTATGATATCCAAAAATTAGGCCAAAAATGGATTTTAAATTTTCTCGCCTCAAGAGAGAAGTCCACTGGCACCCTGAATCAACTAGGGTAGTCTTCATCTGTGGAAAGCACTTTTCCTCTGCCCATGTTCTGGATTCAGTCCAGAGACCAATTTTCTTCTGCACTGAGGTGGGGCATATCTTTAAGGGCACATCAGTGCTGAGCAAACCACTGTGCCATCAGGGAGAATCCCATGGTGACACATTGTTCTCCAAAAACTACTGCTCTGGTCCATAATAGACAACAGCCTGGTGCAAAACCAAGCTGTTTACATCCTAGAAGCACTATATACTAACCATGAAAAATTGTTTTACTCTTAACCCACCTGAGTGAAATGCTGATTTGAGTTACTGCACCCCATGTCTATGTCTCTGTCCCTGAGATGGCAGGCCATGAGAAGCATACACAACCTGGGTGCAAGTAACTTGTCAGAGCAATAAACTGCCACCACAGTTTGTCAGTCCTTGGCCAGTCTGTTGAGAAGCTAGACAAGGTGCCAAGTTTAAAGCTGTTTGTAATGATTTTCCACTTTGTTGCTGAAAACTGAAGTAGGAGTGGGAACATGCCTGCTTTGGCCAACCAGTAATCAGTGCTTGAAGGCTATAAGCACCAAAGTACTTTTTGGCCACTGCTGATTCATTTTCTGTAAATTTAACAGGGGATTTGTTATTCTTTTTTCTCTCTTTTTTTTTCCTTGCAGATGCAGCACTTTCTGCAGCTTCTGCGAAGTGCCACATCCACAGGCTGGTTTAGCAAAGGCCACTGCTCTGCGTCACTCTCCCATTGAGCCCACATGAAAGGCAGGAGTCTGGGCAGAAGCAGAGACAAGGTTTGTAAAGTATTGCTCCTTTACAACATCAGGGTGATAGGGCTGCTGGCATTTTCAGACACCTTTGAATCATGCATCATTGAGTCCTGGAAAAGCATGCAGAAATATTCTCCATTCCCCAGTTTGAATTATTTCCATGAAGGTTTGTCCTATCTCCGTACACCTGATGTGCAAATATCCATCAGGAAGGGAACCCCTGTCCCTGGTTGAGAGTCTGGCAGTCTCTGCAGTGGTTTTACACAGGTTATCTAAAGGGGACAAAGTTTCACAGGCGAGGATTCATGTCAGGATGAATTCCTGGGTGAGAAGAGCTGTACTTTCTGTTACGTTACTCTGCCTCGTATTTCAGCTGGGAGCTTTCGCACATCTCATAAGCTGCTTCGAGCCTGTGCCTTTGCAAAGTGGAAAAAGGAATTGAAGAATGAAAAAATAAATATTAAAGCACGTAAGAATTAAATATCACCTATTCAAATAGCAATTATGCCGTTGAAAACAAGATCACCACACCTGTACAAGAAAAGACAACCAAGCCCACAACATCTGTTTGGATCCACCTGCCAAGCACCTGTTTTGCTGTTTCAATGCCATTTGATTGCTGGAGATGTAGAGGCTCTTGTGAGGTAATGAGTGATTTTACATTATGCATGATTGAAAACAGGTGTTCTAATGCTCTACAATTCTATGCATGAATAATTCAGTTTGTTTAGAGCAAGATCTTTAAAAGAAGTATGGTCTTTATTTTTTTTTATAAATATTAAGGTTATTCTCTGCAGTGTATGGTGGCTGGTCTTTTCAGCAAGCTCACTGATGACCATTTTTGTATAATTTTATGGGTAGGAAATAACACTGTGAAAGGTAAAAAAAAAAAAAAATAATTATACCTAAAGCACATAAGCAATGAAATTGAAAGGTTTCTTTAGCAAGGAGGGGAAAAAAAAAACTGTCACTGTTTTAAGGGAGAAAGCCAGATGACTTTTGGCAAAGCCTGCTTCTCAACACTAACAAAACAGCCCAAGAGCTTAATTATATAGAGGGGTGAATGTGCCTCAGGGATAAGTAAGAGCCAGTCTATCTCTTGGTCCGAATTCCAGCTGAGTCTGAATATGTTTAAGAATTTGGGTTGCTTTTTTCTCTCATTTTCCTCATGGTTATGAAAAGGTTTCTTGCGCAGTTGTATGCTTTGTGCTGGTTGAAGATGGCTACAGACTCAGGTCCTTATCTGAAGGGCAGTTTTCCACCTTGAGAACTGTAGTATAAAACAGCCCATGCTTCTCACCATGGAGAATTCAGTGGCTGCTTGGGATCATCTCCCAAAGATGAGAAAGTTGTGGTAGTCCAAACTGAGAGAAGCAGATGAGCTTGTAGCATTCTCTCTGTTTCTTCCAAGGTAAGCAACACAGCTATACTGCCTCATGGTTTCTGACAGGATTGTTTTGAGACGGGGTGAGACAAGCCTTCAGCCTAAGTTTTTCTTACCATAGCTTATATGTCTGTTCACTCCTTGCTCCCTCAGCTAGAGCTGTAATTTAGTTTAGGAATAAGGTTTGTAGTGTCAGTTTTGGTGTTAGGTTTTGTTATGGGAATCTTCTGCGAGGAGCGGCACTGAGATCGCCTATGAATTTCCCAGGGAAGGTCTGTCATGTTTGCCAGTTTCCTAGCTTCCATTGTAGCTGCTCCAGCAGCTTTTGGGGTCCACAGTCAGTTTGAATTCTGTCTTGAAACAAAGTGCTTAGATGCTGCTAGAGGGTATTTTGTACCTGGAAGGACAGATTCTGCACCTCTCAGGATGGGCAAGGTTCAAAAGCAAACGAAGGGAAAGGGAATGCCGGCCCTGTCAAAATATTTTGACGAGCAATGTGAAACCTTGATGAGGGAAACAGAGTAGAGAAAATGAGAACAGAAGCTTTCAGATCTTCCAAATGGTCATGTCCTGACCACTCCTGTTGCTGAGACAATGAAGTGGGAAAAGAGTAAAAGAGAAGGGCATGAAATTACTCATTTGAAAGGAGGAATGAACAATGGAAAGAGGCTAAAAGCAATTATTAAAGTATGATACAGTGCCATGTACTAATTTAAAAAAATGTACCTGGGCTCTGGAACACCAGTATTTAGAGCTGCTGATACATAAAATCTGAACAGGTTTGGATCCAGTGACTGTAGAGTTTGGTTAAATAACTTCAATGTGTGATGTCAGGCAATAGAAGAAGGAAAATTCAAGAATCCAAAATATCCAGCTGTGATGCAGGACCTCACTCAAACTCTGTGGCCCACACTGTTTGGGAGATGTCAGGTCAGGATTCCTGCAGGACTAAAGCAAAGACTGTGACCAAAGCTGGCTAAGCATGCAGCCATTTAAAGGTTTTACTGACGTGGATAGTAACCTTTCAGTATGTTTTTATACAGTAAGTTACAGGAGACTGCAAATTAGAGTTTATGATATCTTACCCATTCAGCAACTGACAAAGTATCTAAGGAAACCTGACCTGCTTCACAGACCATGAAAAAAATCTTCATGTAAAGTGAAAAAGATGAATTACAGTATTTTACAGAGAGGTAGGGGAATTTCTCTCAACTCAGATCTTGGGTTAATTCCCACAACAGGTGAAAGAATATTTCACCAGGCTTTACTGAAATAAAAGTTCAGAAAATTTAATAGATGAAACCCTACACGCCAAGGGATAAACTCTACTCCCTTTAATGCATTGGAGCCAATGTCCATGCCATCAGTAACATGGGTAGTAATCAAAGTGAAGAAAATAAGGGAAGAGATCTCTGAGGGAAGACAGACATCAAGGACAAAATATTGTAAAATATCTGAAGTGTGGAGAAAAGGTGTTTTTTTTTTGCTGAGATGATTAGAAAGAAGAATACATCCTGGTACTCTAAGTCTCTGCAATAAGGAGAGCATTTTGTTTTCACTGGGAATTGTTGTTCATAAGAAGAAAATAAATCAAATTTCATAATTATAGCATGCTGGATAGGAGAGAAAAAAATAAAAAGGATGATGTGGCATTTCTTGGAGATGCTGCTGCCTGGTTTCCTGAGGGGTTATCTGTCCTGGTGCAGATGTTGGAAAATCACTGTTTCCACTGAGCATCTGGGAGAAAGGCAACAAAAGCAGCATATTTCTGCTCCTTCCTGACTTCTTCCCTCTAGTTCATAACCCATAACAGCAACTGAAGGCTTCCTTCATGTTGGTAGAAGAATTTTCTATGGCTCTAAACCTCTCTTTTTTTTCTCCTTCCCCTCCCTCCCCCCCTCCTCCTCTGCCTTTTCCCAGTAACAGCTGTTTTATAAAACTCCTTATCTGACTGGTTTAAATTAATGTTAGGGATTACTTTCTGGTTTGTACTTTAGGTCAAGCACATGACTCTCCCAGAGACACATCTTCTCTTACCTCTGCAGAGGCTTCTCAGTAGCAGTGAGTGACAGAAGGTGTCAGGATCTCCTCTACCACTTTCCTATTTCCATTTCAGTTCTAAATACTGAGGAGACACATGCAGCTAAATCCTGCAAGAAGAAAGTGTATTCCTTACTTATACTATGTGGGGTAATGATCTGTGGACCAGGTCAGGTGCCCGCAGAAGGAGAGGTTTGTGTTTCTACCTTCATTCTTTTGTGGCAAACCTTTGCTATATAGTGTCAGAAAAAAATAGAGTTTTCCAGAAAAAAAAAAGCCCAAAGAAAATTTTCAGCATTTCACCCGTATGATCCAGATCTTTTAGGAGGTTTCCAGATGATGCACTGGAAAGATGAATGTTGAGCTCCCTGGTAGCTGTGTTGCATATGAAAACATTTAGTTTCTGAAATATTTCAAGGGACTCAGGTGCTAGCTGTTCCACAAATTGAAAGTATGTATTTGCCTTTTTATATATATATATATATATATATATATATATATATATATATATATATATAAACCTCCTGTGATTATTGGGTAACTATTTCTTGTCATATTTACTCTCCCAACTTAGTTGTCTTTGGTTTCTTTTCAAGAATAAGACAGGATCTGGTGAACTTAAAAGAAATTTTCCATTGTCCACTGGGAGATCTAATTCCCTGGTATCTCTGTTGTTACAGTATAGGGGACATAAGAAGGTACTTTGTCTAGGAACCAGTTTAGGTACCATTTCCTAACCAGTAGGGCACTCCTTCTTATTCACAGTTATAATCATGTTGAAACTGTCAAGTGTTGTTTCCACCTCTTTAATTTGTTCTCAAACGAAATCCTTTACTTCTTTCTATGCAGAGGCTGCTGTGGCCTGGATCTCATCTTGTCTTTTAGTAACATCTTCCAGATTTGTTTTAAACTGATTAGACACTGCTGAAGAATCAGCTTCTCTCCCCCGGACAGTACAAAGCCAAGTGTTGACAGAGCTGGCTCCTGGCCATCAGCTATGTGGTGACGCAGCACTGCATCTTTTGACAGCCCCAGTTTCCTTTGGGGCACTCTGAAACATTCACACACCCTGATGAATTAAAATAAAATAAATTACAGGGTGTCAGAAAGCTGCAATTAAAAAAGAAGTGTCGGCTTGACCAGAGCGTTGTTTTAATTAAAGGACTTTTCCTATACACTCGAGCAAAGAATCTCAAAGTTATTTCTGCCCTTCTAATGTGGCTGCATTTTCCCTCTGAATTTTGATTGTGAAAACCAGAAAATTATCCTTTTTATTTGGTTACTGAGAGGAATTATAGGGAATGAGCTCAGTGAATTCAAAATTCTCTTACTAAGAGTAGGAAATGATGGTTATTGTTGTCCTTCCATAACTAAATAAATAGCTTCCAGTGCAGTTTAGACGTAGAGACACTAGTTTCTGGTACCTACCTAAGCACAGGGATGCATCTATGTCACAAGGATCACATGTATTGCCACCACCTGGATTCTTTGCTGGATGGACATCATCCTCTCTTTAAGCATAAGGAAGAAATGCAGAGGGTCACAGTACCAAATACTATTTCTGAGGTTCATTTGTCCCTAAAGGTTAACAGAGGTCATCAACAAATATATTGAAATAAATTAAAGTTAGCTCTTGTATTCGAGTCTTCCCATCACAGTGTCCTAAGAGAGGTTCTGTGGTTTGACACGTAATTAATATGTTTATCTTAGCTTGCCTTTTTTTTTTTCTCAACAACCATCACCATAATAGGCAAATATAAACATTTCATCAAAGAGGCTATGTTCTATTTTGCTGCAACAATGTTACTTTCCCAGCTTTCACCAGTGACATGAAGTAAATGCCTGAAAAAAAACCCTCCGAAATTTTCTCATCACTTTTGCTTGAAGCTGTGTTATGTTTACAGACTTGTGGAACATGTGCTCTCTTGCCTCCTTTGAGTGTCATGGGAACACAAACTGAGGTCTGATCCGGTAGCACTGCTCGGCTCTGCCTGGTGCTTCTCGGGGGTCCCATAATCCACCCACAAGGTTGTTTCAGTGCAGGGCGTAAAGTTACATGCTCTTTGCCAGCGTCCAAGATCTCAAACACATGGACAATCAGGCTGGCTCAAGTATTAAAAGCTGACGGATTTTCAGACAAACATAGCTAATACTTTTGTTGTTTGTTCATGTTAAAACATTAAAATGTCCTCATTACTCTAAATTACATTGTTTTTAACTTATGGGATACTTAAGGAATATTTGTAGGAATTACTGGCTTTAGCTTATGCTGTTTGTAACTCCCTTTTTACAGACTTAACTGGTCAGGTAATTTCCACAGTATTGTTTTTTGGCTCCTTAACTGGATCTTAACCAAGATCACAAAGTGCTTCTGCAGAGATAATGGAGCACATTCCTGTATCCTGTGAAATGTCAGTTATATATCTAGTGTTAGATGTGTAGTGATAACCTGGGTAGAGCTGCCAGATGCTGTAATTTCTTGCTCAGGACTACCAAATACCCTGAAGATACCAAGACATCTTCCAAAAGAAGGAAAGAAAAAGAAAACAAAAAAAAGAAAAAAAGAAGAAAAAAAAGAGAGTGAGCAAGACAGAGAAAGTGTTCAAGCATTCCAGTTTGATGATTAAACAATGTGGCCTTTACCTCTATTTCCTTATAGGAAAAGTAAATATAACACTGTTAATTAGCACCAAAAAATGGTAAGTTAGTTGATGTCAGTAACAAACTTTTGCTGTAAAAACTATTAATTTTTGGTTTAGCCAATATATAAATCCAGGAAAAAAAAAATACAGACATCTGAGTCCAACCAGCTGAGTAAAGCATGATGATTTAGCAGAAGCATAAATTGAAAATGGCGAGTAATACAAACAATAGCCTTTCTTAAAGGGGCCTACTGGAATAAGTAGGTCTCACAGGTATTTGATTTGGAGCATGTAATCTTCTCCTTTGAGGATACTTGTGAAAGTTATTCCTGAACGTTCACAGGTTTCTCTGCTTTTCATTATAGGTTGTTTTTTTTTTTGGTTTTGGTTTGGTTTTGTTGTGTTTTTTGTTGTTGTTGTTGTTGTTTTTTGTTGTTTTTTATTTATTTATTTTTTTTTTTTTTAACAAGGGCCAGAACTGCATGCATGATTTTCTGCGATATACTCACATGGGAGGTGTTCTTGAACTGGCCAAGGACACATTGTTTGCAAGAAGGTCCTGTCAAGTATCCAAACTCTTTGTTGAAGCTTCCATTTTAGATGACCCCACAGAATGTGAGAAAACTTTCTTTTAGGGGAATGGCTTCTTCTGGCCAGAGTTATGTCCAGAAAGTCTGCTGTGCTTGACCTGTCACTGAAATGCCCATTGCAAATGAATTTAAGGGTGGAGGCAGGAATGACTTATTCATGTTTTCTCAAGAAAGATGCCAGGATAGGACTCAAGCCCTTGCTCTGATTTTTTCCTATGCACAGAACTACCTCTCTGGTAAATAGGATTTCTGAGAAGGTTGGTTGGATTTCTGGGCCCTGCATCCTGGAGAAATCAAAAGAATTTGGGTCATCTTCCTCTTTTGACTTAAAAATAGCTCCAGTTAATGGCATTTGGAAAATGAATATCTTTGAACGCAGTCTTCCATTTGCGAAGGGGCAAAGTTTATAGTTTTGGGTAGAAACCAAGTGAAAGTTAGCTGGTTCATTGGGGGATTGTTTTGAATTTCTTGGATTTGCTAAAACTCAAAAGTCGAAGTGAAACTCAGGGGATGTGAACCCGCTTGAGCTGAAACCAAAAAAGCAATGTGCCAGATCTCCCATGAACCAAAAACCACTGGGTTCTCACAGTTCTCATCCAAACAAAAATGTACAAATATAAATCAAATATCCTCTTTTGCTCCTTGTAGCTTTCATGGAAACAACACAGAATATTAAAAAGATCTGCTCAGTTTTTGCAGCAGCAACTACCAAAATATCCTGTGATCATTTGATAGCTGGCAGTTAATATCCTGATCTATTCTCTTTAGTCAGTAATCCAGTCCTTTCCAACTAACACTCTAAGTTGGCATGCACAGCACAACCCCTTAAAATCTTCCTCGGTTGTACAATTTCACAGGGAAGACTCTGCGTACAGTTCACAGTCCTTTACATTTTTGCTCAAGGAGCCAAAGAGGGAGATGGATTTGCAATTATATGAAAACTGCAAGCAGTGTGATCAGTACAAAGACAGGACACTTAGCCAGTATATGACAAGCTGAAGTACTAGGAAAATATTTAATGATATTTTTTGCCTGTGGTTTACCTTGTTTGAGAACATATCATGGCTCAGAAACGAGAGAAAAAAAAAAAAAAAATCAATGTTTTGCAGTGCCATCACTCATCATGTACCAAACAGTTTCTAAAGCCATAAAAAAGTGCTAGTCATGGAAGAACAGCAAAGGTTTCATTTGTAACTTAGACACACTTGTTTGTAATAACATCAGTGCTTTTAAATGTTGCCAAGTTGCTAAGGCTATCTCTTATATACAATCTTTTAATATTCAAGTGTTAAGAAAACCAAGGTAATAATGTTAAAGAAATGTTAAAAGAAAAAAGTTTGATCAGATGGTTAAAATCCAGTCAAATCAAAGACAACCTGTTTATGACCTTTCTATGCTAAAAGCTAAAAATGTCTTTTTTTTTTTCCACAAGATTAATTACCATCACTTTGGGAGTAGTGAGCTGGACATTATTATATGATGTCAATTAATGATTAAAAAAAAGGTGGTTTGCAAATGTAGCACCATAGTCCCTGGTGCATTACATCATTTCTGAAAGATCTTAACACGTGATAAGCAAAGAACATTTTAACCTAAAAGTCTGAGTGTTACAACCTCCTTTTTTTTTTAATACCCTATGCACAACCTTTTGGCCTTGAAGTCACTTGCAATAAAATTAAGAAGTCAGAAAGAAAAGGAAAAAATAACCTCTTTTTGTTCAAATATATCTGCCTGTTCTGCTGTCTAACTGTTAATGAAACAAAATGAGTCACTATATATGTTGGAGAATTTGTTGTTGATCTTAGTATGCGCACTGTTCTCAGTGAGATTCATCATAAAAGTCTCCTGCTTAGAGTCATAAGGTTGCTGTGATTCAGGTATTATAAACTGTATAATGCAGTTTTCTCTGGGAGAGTGCCTTGAAAATTTCATATGCTGAACGAAATTACTACCGCACTTGCCTAGGCTCTGCTTTCCCAGATGGGGTGACAATGATCATTTATGTGCCTTGTTGAATTCACTGAAATACTTAGGAAAGGGTTTACCTGTATTTTATATCTCCTTCTGTTATAACCTTTTCTGCAGCAAGTTTTATTTCTTTGTCAGTAACATACTTACCCTGATCCATTTTCCTAAGGGCTCTTCTCCAAAATACTGTAGAGCTTCCTTTGCAAATGAATGATATGCATTTAAAATACCTTTGTAATAATAAATACCACATGAACATATGTATCAAGCAAAGGATTTCAATTTTGATGACACTTGCTTCTCAAGAACAGACATTCTGGAAGAAAAAAATGTTGCCAGCCCCAAATTGATTGACATTTGTTTACTTAACTCTCTCTTCTTGAAAGTCTGCACACCTATTTCAACCTTGAACAGTTTCCAACTGTGGTATACTGGAACATTTTTTCATTTATTAAGTTCAGTGTTGCCAACCCAAACAAAGAGTAATCAGTGATGATCCAAGCAGACCAAGCTGTCTAGCACCATACAATGTATCTGCATGCTAATTTTCAAATTCCCTCACATTTCCAGAGAACTAATGGGATCATTTTCATTCTGTTACAGCAACTCAACAGTTACTGAATCACCATCTGTGTTTTCGTTAACCTGAATCAGATATAAATTCTGTTATTGCAAGGTAGAGCAGCTTGTTTAATGATTCTTAATCTTTTCTTTAATTAAATCATGCAGCCAACCTGAAAAATCTATCTTAATGCAAATTAGGAGCTTTTTTGGCATTCGCTTACAGTAATGCACTAATAAGGTTAATTTATGAAGGTTCTCTTCCAGTCTGTACAGATGATATTTGTTCGCTGCATATTTTTAGCATATTGTCCCTTTTTGTAATATTTAAAAAATAACAATTAAGAAATAGTTATTTTTATTCGCACAAAGGAGGGAGGCTGTGATCTGCTTATTGTTTATTTGAAAGTTAGAGCACAGAAAATGAAAATCAGTCTCTTCCTTCTGTAAGCATCAGGCCATGCAGATGCAAAGGCACAATTCAAGGGCCTATTGAATTAAAGGGCCTCAGACAAGCACTCTTCTGTCTTTGGCTTCTGGAGAAAATCAGGCCTCAGTTGAGGTAATCATCTTTAAGATATCAGGGGAGATAAAGAGTTTCTCTGAGCCCCTTTTATTTCTTATTTTTTATCTATAGGTGTGAATTTAAAGAGTAAATGATTTTTGTGAAATAAGCCTGAATACATTTTTCAGTTGCACAATTGCTTCAGCTCTGGGCTCTGATGATCTCAGTCAAAAAAACCTCTGCCTTTGTGAGCATTCCTCCTAACTACAAAATTAGTTGAAATCTGTTCAAGTTGCTGAGTAAAGAGTAAACTTTTTTTTTTTTAAGTTATTTTTCAACACCCACAAGTAAATGGGGACAGAAACTGAATTTCTACACATGGTCTTTGCTATTTAATTAAAATTACAGAGACTGAAAAGTTTACAGCAAAGTTATTTTTGCATAGGAAGACTACAGATTCCTGAAATCAGGAGTTCTTTTCATAGAAATTTTCCTGTTCAGACCAGGAATGACTTTTTTTTTTGTCCCAGTTCTAGGAAAGGGCTTCTCAGCTAGAAACTGGAGAAGATCGTTCCTCTTTTGCAAGAGGATTGCCCAATCACAGAAGCAGTGAGGGCAGGCTCATGGAAAGGGGGAGACCTAGCTCAGCCCCTTCCTTAAATACACTCAGTGGCAGCTGAGCCCTGTCCTACCTTTTTCTTTTCCCTTTCTGTCTTTCCAGTCAGACTTACTCCATGGCTGACTCTATTAACTATTTGCATGGCCCAAGACTGAAGCTTTTGCCCAAGGAGAAGGGAATTTACCGGAGTTGTGAGTCTGTGTTTAATTAAAGCAAATAGCAGGATGGAACGGGTTCAGGATGGCTGCTTGAGAAAAACCTTCGTTCAAGTTCCCTGTAGCTGGGGACTGGAAACCATATCTCACACAATTCGTGCAATGTCTCCTGGGTTCTTAAGTATTCTGGAGTGGCTTTTTTTCTCCGGCTTTAGGAATTTTGCTTTGCCCACTTTTATGTTTTCTTGCACCCACAGAAATGGGAATGTGAGAGTTTTTCATCTTCCTTTTTCCCCCCATAGAATTTGGAAAATTGTTTTCCAGCCATTGGTAGTCCTTCCTGTGTAATATTAAGACAACAAGAATAAAAAGTAACTGTTTCCATTGCCATTTAATTATACCTATGTGTTCTTAAATGTATTACATGCTTCACTTCATGCTTCACCCACTTTTAAAATATGCAGATAAATGAGTATCAGCATATAAGACTCTTTTAATGCAGACTTATGGTTTTGTACACTATTTTCTCTAAAAGGAAAAAAAACAACAACAAATCACCCAATAAAAAAACAACCAAACCCAACCCTAAACAAGCCTCAAACCTACTAAAATCTAAAAGAAAATTACTGATACCAAATTTTGGATGATTTCCTGGGAAAAAAATATAGACAGATTATTTCCCACCCCCTTCAAAAACACTTAAAAAATGCCTGACACATCCCTTGGTTCTTTTCAGCCGCGAGAGAAAATGAGTATTTGACAGTTTCATTCTAAAAAGCAATATTGGGGACATCTTCAGTTATTTTTCTTGTTCTGTTTTTTCTTGTTCTGCCTGCATTTTATGGAAGGGTGACCAGCCTCCAAGGGACAGCTCAATACTTGACAGTGACAGTATCTTCCTTACATCAGAGCATTTTCTCAGATATTAGAATAACCCTGTGCTCAAGTAACAAGTGTTATGAGATTACTTCTTAATGAAGGTACTCCATGAGGAACCCCAAAAATCAGAAACTGAGCTTCTGAATCACGAAGACCTTTGCTGTTAGGCCACCATGAGAAAAACAGGAATGAAGACTGCAGCAGACGTTGGAGACCTGTCTACCACACAGGAAGAAAGGGAAAGAACATGATCACATTTGACACTAAAAATTTTCCTGGGTTAATTGCCACCTCACTAAGCAGAGAAATTAAGGTAGGGAGAGCATTCTTATGATGACAACCTTTACCCAGTGGCAACCATTGCATTTTCCCAAGGCTGAAGACTATTTAGCCCTTACAAACCCTATCAGTGATATGCAGGCATAGCCTCCAGAGATAAGCCCACATTTTTGGGATACACAGGGCAAAGGATGGACTGCAGTAGGTCACTATTGAAATACTTATAGTTGAGCATGGACAGTGCTGAAATGGCATAGCTGGCCTGAAGTC